ACCTGTCGTTGCCCAAGTTTGCTAGTCAATTCCGTTAAATGGTGGCACTGGCAGCAATGGGTAGACACAGCTCATTAAAAATACCATTTGGGGAAATCCTAAAGCAACAGGATAGTCATTACTAAACTAATTCTATTGGCCTGAAAGAGTTAATTCAACCCCTAAAGGGAAGCAATTTACTTTCTATTCCCCAGGAGGATGAGCCAGCCTCTTACAGAGCTTAATACAATGAAGCTGTTTTATACCAGCCCTCCCTTCCGCTCCCCAAGCTGAAAGCCCCCTGACAGTTGACAAGCCCGAGATAGGGTGCACAGGGAGGGTCGCCTCGCATTCTTCTGTGCAGGGCCCCTGTAGGTTGAGGCTACTGGGTAATGCTGAGTAAATCCATGCATGCAAGGAACAAGCACAAGGACAAATCCCTTGAAGTTGTGTGTCTGAACCTAAATACCTCCCCAGATTCTAACGGCACAGCCAGATCAATCTATCAACTAGAGTGTCTAAGGAATCCCTGATTTATATGCAACCTTAGCAGTCCATCACTAGGCACGGAGTGCCCGTGTCACCAACTCTGCACAGGGAACTCTGGTCCTGGGAACACAGGTTGTCGCCCTCCTGGACACAAGCATTCTCATTTCCAAAAAGAAGACAGCAGGGAGAGAACAGAGAACTGTTATTTTTTTTAAAGGATTTTATTTATGTATTCTTAAATAGAGGGGAAGGGAGGGAGAAAGAAAGGAAGAGAAACATCAGTTGGTTGCCTGCCAAACATGCCACCACTACAGACCAGGCTGCGACCCAGGCATGTGCCCTGACCAGGAATTGAACCAATGGCCTTTTGCTCTGTGGGACAATACCCAAACAACTGAGCTACACCGGTCAGGGCTACTTTCTTATTTGTTAACAATGCATCATGAAAAGATGTCAAACGTAGATCAAAATCAACATAATAGAATGACCCTCTATGTACTTATTACCCAGCTGCAACAACTAATAACTTGTAGCCAGTCTTCGTTCAACTGTACCGCATCTACCCCCCACCATTATGTTCTCTTGAAGTAAATCTCAGAGTTTTTATCATTTCATCCACAAACAGTTCAGTGTGTATCTCTAAAAAGCAGGGTTCTTTTTATTATAACCAAATACAAAACAATTACTCCTCTAAAAATACTCTTTTGACACATGTGACGACATGGATAAACAGTATGCTTGAGAACAGTATGCTAAATGAAATAAGCCATTCACAAAAGGACAAATACATAATTCCACTTATTTGAGGTTCCTAGAGTGCTAAATGCAGAGACAAAAAGCGGAATGGTGGTTGTCGGGGGTAGGGGCGGTAGGTAATGGGGATTGTTATTTAATGGGGAGTTTCAGTTTTGCGGGATGAATAGAGTTCTGTGTTCAGATGGTGGTGATGTGAGCACAACAATGTAAATGTACTGAAAGCAATGAACTGTACACTTAAAAATGGTTAAGGTGGTAAATTTTATATTAGGTGTACATATTTTATCACAATTTTTAAATGGTAAATTAAAAATAAAATCCTTCAACCACCCTGGCTGGTGAAGCTCAGTGGATTGAGTGCCAGCCTGCAAACCAAAGGGTGGCCAGTTCAATTCCCAGTCAGGGCACAAGCCTGGGTTACAGGCCAGGTCTCCAGTTGGGGGCACATGAGGGGCAACCACACATTGATGTTTCTCTCCCTCTCTTTCTCCTTCCCATCCCCTCTCTCTAAAAATAAATAAATATTTTTAAAAAATAAAATTCTTCACATCATAAACTGTTCTTGGAGTGTTTAATTATTACATAAATGTCATAAATTTTGTTCAGTTCATTTGCATGGAGCAGAATTTGCATAAGGTTGACAGACTGTGATTGGTTGTTAGGTCTTTTTAAGTCCATGTGTTCCCCTTTTACCCTTTTTCTCCACTGTTGCAGTTTATTTATTGAAGAAACTTTTCCTATAGTTTTCCACAGTCCAGACTTTGCTCTTTGCATCATTGTGGAGTTCCCTGTTCTCTGCATTCTGGAAAATTGGAAGTTGAATCAAGAAAACAGATCAGATTGAAATTGCATATTTTGGGTAAGGCCACTGCATAGGTTCCACTACATCCCTGTAAGAGTGTACGGTTGACCCAAATGTGAGTGGGTGAAGATTAATCAATGAACTGACGGGCAATTTAGTATGAGCTCTCTATTGACAGTAACCTTGGGAAGGGGGCAGGAGAAATGAGAGAATACCAAAAAAAGTTAAAGCCCTGGCTGGTGTGGCTCAGTGGATTGAGTGCCAGCCTGCAAACCAAAGGGTGGCCAGTTCAATTCCCAGTGAGGGCACAAGCCTGGGTGCAAGCCAGGTCCCCAATAGGGGGCACACGAGAGGCAACTGATTGATATATCTCTCTCACATCGACGTTTCTCTCCCACTCCTTCTCTCTCCCTTCCCTCTCTCTAAAAATAAATAAATTCATTAATTTAAAAAAAAATTAGAAATGTTCTGACAGAATTCTAGCCATCAAGGCACCTGCAATCTTGTTAAGGTGAAACTGATACATGTGAAACAATTAAATGAGTATAAAACTGTGCTATGACCGTAAACTCTACCACATTATACGGGTGAGAGAATCTAAAATGGTCTTATGTAGAACAAAATTCCTATAATGGGTCTTGACAGACTGATAGATTTTGGAGGAAAGGCACAAATGAGACTACACAAGAAAAGCACACAGGTTGCCATTGGGGGCTGGGTACAAGGGTGACTGAGACAGGATGGAAATGACAATACAGGAGCATGAAAACCCAGCAGAGGCATAAAAATTAGAGGAAACCTCCTGATCTCTAGAAATTAAGGCAACTCAGTTGTTGCTTATGCTTTGGCATACACACTCTGGCAAGATTCTAAAGGTCTGCAAATATCACGGTGCTTTGAGGATGTGATGTCCACCCTTTCTAGAGATTAAACACATGACAAAGAGTTTTATAAAACATACAGTGGGAATTTGATAAGGTGTTAAAGACTAACCTCAAAATACTCTGGGGTGAGGGAGATATAGATAGATATAGATGAAAAAAGATTGACGAGGAGTTGATAATTTTTGGAGCTGAGTAATGGATACATAGGGGTCATGCACGTACATTTGAATAATAAAAAATTATTTGTAAACCTATTACTGTCAAGGTTAAGAGTCATTCCTACATCCCATGTTTTCAATGTTATAGGGGGGAAAAAGGATTCACTAGACCAAGCTATTTAACACGGAGCCCATTACTCTACCCCTACTACGTGCAGGAACTGCGTAACGTGCTTTGTATACATGGTCTCAGGTATCATGATGGTGGAAGCAATGTTCTTAGACTCCGATGTGTCTTTTCTACTCTGGGTTTCCAAGAGTTATCCCTTCAACATTCATTTAGTTTTTCAATAAGCCCTTGTGTCAGACACTTTGCTAGGCTCTGAAGACATAAAAAGAGAGGAGACAGCTTGTCTTCAAGCAGATTATGATCGAGAAAGACAGACTGGTGTTCTCTGAATGGAGGCTGTGCACTTCATGTAGTGTTACAGTTTGCATCACCTAAAAAAAAGACAGACAGAACAGTAAGATTACAATATAACTGATAAACGTTTTAATAACTGCCATGTATTGAACCATAACTAAGTAGATAACATGCTAAATGTTTTACATTATGGATGTTGTACATCCCTACAAGAAAAGTGCAACAGTGTAATAACAGAAACAGCACAGTGTGTCAGAGACACCCACCCCAGATTTGGGGGTCAGAGAAGGTTTTATAAAGGAGACAATGTCTATGTTGACTTTTTCTATTGATTTATTTTATTTGTGGTAAAATATACCTAACATAGAATGTATCATTTTAACCATTTTAAGTACAGAGGCATTAAGCACATTCACACTATTGTGCAGCCATCACCACCGTCCATCACCAGGACTTCGCATCTCCTCAAACTGAAACTCGGCATGCATTTAACAATAATCCCCCATCATCCCACCCCTCAGCCCACAACAACCACCGTTCTGTTTTCTGTCTCTATGGTTTTAGATACCCTAAATACCTCATAGCAGTAGGATGGTGCAATATTTACCCTTTTGTGACTGGCTTATTTAACTTAGTATAATATCTTCAAGATTCATCCATGTTGGCCCTGGCTGGTGTAGCTCAGTGGATTAAGCACCAGCCTGCAAACCAAAGGGTCACCAGTTTGATTCCCATTTGGGGCATGAGCCTGGGTTTGTGGGCCAGATCCCCACATATTCAGATCCTCTGCTCATTTTTTTAATCAGGCTGTTTGGTTTTTGCACGTTAAGTTGTATGAGTTCCTTAAATAGTTTGAATATTGACCCTTTATCAAGTGTATCATTGGCATATAACTTCTCCCATTCAGTAGGCTGTCTTTTCATTTTTGTGGAGAATCTCCTTACTTTTTACTACTAAATAATATTCCATTGTATGGATATATCACATTTTATCCATTCATTTGTTGATGGGCAGTAGGTTTGCTTCCACCTTTTGGCTATAGTTAATGCTGCTCTACATGGGTGCATCTCTTCAACACCCTGCTTTCAATTATTTTGGATATATATTATGTTATGTCTTGGGGCATAAGAAGGAATTAGGCAGAAAGAAGACAAGCATTCCAAGAAGAGTGAGCAATGTGTGTGTGCAAAGGCACGGAAGGCTACAGTTCCATAAGGCTGAAGAACAGACAGAGGCAGCGAGTGGTGAGAGGGAAGGGCTACAAAGAGGCAGAGGCAAGATTCTTCAAGGACCTCACATGCCATGGGGAGTGGACAGTGGAAGCTCAAAGCAGGACTCAGGCTGAGTCCTTGTCTTCACTGATATTCTTAAAGGACTCACTTCAATGAGCTTTTAAGCAAGTCTTCAAACACAATGTTTTTATAGCAAAGACTTGAGGCCTTAATGGAAATGACACTAGAAGATATACACATCATGGTGATCCCAGTCTTTTTTTTTTCCTCTTTAAAAGCAATATGGAATGCTTTGCAAACTTGTGCATCATCCATGCACAGGAGCCATGCTAACCTCTCTACCATTCCAGTTTCAGTATACGTGCTGCTGAAGTGCACACCGTGGTGACTCCAGTTTTATGTTTCCCCCACAGTAGTCCCCCTCACTCTACAGTGTTCAATAAATAGTAATGGAGTGTTCCATTGATTATTTATGGTCTATGGATATATGCTATTTTATAAAATCTTTTGTTCAAAATAATATTCTCTAGTATATTGCTTTTATTTAACCTCTTTTCAGAATCAACTAAGCCAGAATACAAATCCAATTATGAGATTCTGCATTCAGCCCTGGCTGGTGTGGCTCAGTGGATTTAGCATGAGAACTGAAGCAACACTGGTTCTGTTTCTGGTCAGGGCACACACCTAGGTTGTGGGCCAGGTCCCCGGTTAGGGGGCTGGGGGTGTACAAGAGGCAGCCAATCAATATTTCTTTTGCATATAAATGTTCCCCTCCCTCCTTTTCTTCCTACTGCCCCCTCTTTCTAAAATAAATAAAATCTTTTTCTTTTAAGAAGAGATTCTGCATTCAACTCTTCTGCTTGCTCCTCGGTGACAGAGAATGAATCTCTCCAGTTGTGGAAAATGGTGCCAGGTAAACCTGGGGCCCACACAGATGTGAACAACAATGTAACTCACAATCTGCTTATTCCTATAAAGAGTCTTTTTAAAATTATTATTTGAGAGAGAAAGAGAGAAAGGGGGAGAGACATTTGTGTTCCACTTATTTATGCATTCATTGGTTGCTTCTTGTGTGTGCCCCAAGCAGAGATCAAACCCTCAACCTTGGTATATGGGGAGTGCACTCCAACCAACTGAGTACTCAGCCGGGGCTAGAGAAGTGGCATCTTGATCATCACATAAATTACTATTGATTAATGTTATTATTTTGACCAGCAGGGACTACAGCATTTTCCCTACAATCCTGATTGGATGAAAGACCTTACATTATCCATTTGCTGACAAATTATAGTAATACAGCTACTTTTTAAAAATTTTCCTTGTACATCCCATATTGGTTCTGTCAGGGAGCACATTAGAAGAACAAATGTTACAAAATATTCTGCTGCTTTTAAAACATAATTGACCTCATCAGAGAAGGCTGTATACTCTTGGCATCCAGTCCTCATACAATATTTTCTTTGTCTCTATATTTAACACATGCTGTTTCAAAGAATGACAAGAATGCTTAAACAATGGAAGCTCCAATCTACGATTGTTTGCTACAAATGGAAATGCAAACCACAATATTGCAACGCAAAGAATAATGCACCTGATGTGTCTCCCAGGTGTTTTGATTTTTCTGCCATCTCACCAGACTTCAATCACCAACTCCACTCTTCCAGAGTTACAAAACTATAATTTTTTAAAAAATAAAGCACTAGTAAAGAAAAAATGCAAAAAATTTTTTACTTTATTTTTAAAAATATGTATTTATTTTTAGAGAAAGAGTAAGGGAGGGAGACAAAGAGTGAGAGAAATATTGATGTGCATGAGAAACATCAATCACTTGCCTCTAGCACATGTCCCAGCCAGGGACCTGGCCCGAAACCCAGGCATGCGTCCTGACTGGGAAATGAACCAGCAACCTTTCATTTTGCGGGACAACACCCAACCCACTGAGCTACACAAGTTAGGGCTTAAAAACAGCTTTAAATTCCACAAAGATGGTAAGAGGAGGCAGCTAAGGAAAGTTCTATAACCTCCACCCCTAAAGAGCACTAAAAATAGATAGGATGGCCCACTACATGCCTCCCATTATTTATGTTCTCAAATGTTCTGGGCAGGGGTCTTGACCACACCTCTTTAAACATCGTCTAGCAGACCACACAGCTGAGATCATATTGTGTTTTTGTGGTATTTCTGTCTATATAAATATCAGATTCAAATATTAAAGTGAAGTGATTATAGGTGGTCTACAAGCCTGGGATGAGGTGAAGGAAGGATAAAATTTCTACTGTTAACTGGAGAACAAGACTAAGAAAAAAATAGTCTCTTTTTGTCTACTTTGCAAACATATTTTCATCAGTCTTAAAGATAGGCCCAACATGTTACCTTTTATTTGCTAAGATTCCTAGGCAAATGCGAGCAAGAGAAATTTCAAACGTACTGAGGGAAAGCAAGAGGATGCTGATAGAATTTATTGGAATAGAAATGTCTGTCACTGCTACCTTGAGAAAAGCTCACAGAATACAACAAATACCCCTAGGACCCACCAATTTTGGTCACTCGTGAAATACAAAAACTACGACTAGTACTATTTAGGGATCCTTCATAATTAACATAAGGAAACACCCAGAGGAAAAAAGTCCTGAGTATTTTAGAATATCAAAAGTCTAATAGGGGAAATTCATTGGTTTCTGTCCTCATTTTAGGGAGATCCACTTCAGGAACAGGAGTAGACATGAAGCAACCCTTAAACCAAAGGTGAGGAGCAAAGGAGGAAATGGAAAATACAACTGCTGTAGATCGAACGTTTACATCCCCTCATTCATATGTTAAAACATTTCCTTCCAGGATGATGGTAGTAGGAGGTGGGGCCTTTGAGGTGATTATTAGATCGTGAGGGTGGAGCTGTCATGAATGAGATCAGTACCCTTGTAAAAGAGACCCCCAAAATCTTCCCTCTCCCTTTTGCCATGTGAGGACACAGCAAGACAGCTGCCCATCTATGAAGCAGGACACAGGTCCTAAAAAGACACCAAATCTGCCAGCGCCTTGATCTTGAACTTCCAAGCCCACAAAACTGTGAGGAATAAATTTCTATTGTTTATAAACCACTCAGTTCATAGCATCCTGTTCTAAACGGACTAGGACACCAGGGGTCATTTAGGGTCATTCTGCTCACACAGTCACATGCATGTTTCTAGGCTTATGACCTAGCCTCTTCCATTTTCACACAACACAACTGTACTATTCATTTCCTAGGCCTGCCATAACAAAATCCCACCAACTGAGTGGCTTGAAACAGTAGGGATTTATTCTTTCACAGATCTGGAGGCCAGAAATTTGAAATCGAGGTGTCAGCAAGGCCACGTTCTGTCTCCTAACTTTTGGTAGCTACCAGCAATACTTGGTGCTCTCTGCTGCTATGGTCTGAATGTGTCCTCCAAAACATATATATGTTGAAATCCTTCCCCAAAACATGATAATATGAGTAGGAGGGGCCTTTGGGGGGTAATTAAAGCATAAGGGTAGAACCTTCATGTGTGGAATTTCTGCCTTAAAAAAGAGGCTCCACCATGTGGGGACACAATGAGAAGTCTGTGACCCCGCAAAGGGCCCTCACCCAACTATGCTGGCACCCTGATTATGGACTTCCAGCCTCCAGAACTGTGAGAAATAAATTTCTGTTGTCTATAAGTTACACAGCCTGTGGTACTTTGCTCCAGCAGCCTGAATGGACATTTGGCCTGCAGCTACATCAGTCCCATTGCTGCCTTTGTTATCACATGGCTATCTTCCCTCTGTGTGTCTGTGTCTTCACACACCAATCCCCTCTCTGTGTGACCTGTCTGTGTCACTTCTCTTCTTTTTTTAAAGGTTTTATTTATTTATTTTTAGAGAGAGGGGAAGTGGGGGAGAAAGAGAGAGAGAGAGATGTGCAAGAGAAACATCAACTGGTAGCCTCTCGCATGCCCCCAATCAGGGGACTTGGCCTGCAACCCAGGCAAGTGAGCTGACGGGGAATTGAACTAGTGACATTTTCAGTTTATGGGATGATGCCAAACCCACTGAACCACACCAGTCAGAGCTGTTGTTTCTCTTCTTATGTAGACACCAGAAATATTGTATCTAGGGCCCACCCCCAATCCAGCATGACCTCATCTTAACTTACATCTTACAGGTCACGTTCAGAGGCACCACGGGTTAGGACTTAAACATGTCTTTTGGGGAGACACAATTCAACCTACAAGAGTCAGTGGCTGGTACCAAATTAATTGAGTATCTACATAACTGCTCCAGGACATGTGGGTTAAACAGAAAAATCTAGGCCAAAAGATATGGCTTTTTGCCCTCAAGAAGTTGGAGGAGGACAGTTATTATAAATATAATTTGAAAGAGCATTAACTGCTATAAATATTCTCATCAGTGCTGTTTATAAAGTTAAAAAATGGGGAAAAAACGAATTATCCAATTAAAGAGGTGCATAAAAGTAGGACAAACACTTCAATCCTGGTTTGCCCTGGACTTGCCAGTAAAAGTTCTGCATCCAAGAACCTCTCAGACCTGGGTAAATGGGATGGTTGTTGTCACCCTACAGCAATACAGTGGAACATGAGGCAATTTTCACTTTAAAAGTATGCAAAGATTTTTTTAAATTATTTATTTATCTTTAGAAGGGAAGGGAAGGAGAGGGGGAGAGAAATATCAATGTATGGTTGCTTCTCATGTGTCCCCTGCTGGGAACTGGCCCCTGCTGGGAACTGGCCTGCAACCCAGGCATGTGCCCTGACTGGGAATCAAACCATGATCCTTTGGTTCGCAGGCCTGTGCTCAATCCACTGAGCTATACCAGCCAGGGTAAAAGTATGCAAAGATTTTTTAATCATATGAAAAATATTTAATATCATGTTATGCAACAAAAAGAGCAGAATTCAAAATATATAAGCAGCATCACTGTAATCATGTAAATTACAAAAAGTTTCTACAAACAAAAAAAAAGTAGTACAAAATGTGCCTGAGGTTAACTGCAGTTGCCTTTGTATTGTGGGATAATGAGACATTTTCTCTTGTGCTTCTTTATATTTTAGTGCACTCTTCAAGTCTTCTATTGATTAGTATGTATTGCTTAATCAGGAAAAAGATTAAAGGAAAAAGTAATAAATTTCAAAATGAAAATTAGCCTCTTAAGTTCCTACTACTATTACGCTCGTAGAATAATTAAAACAACAGCTCTGAATAAATATTTACTTCATGTCCAACACCGCTACTCATTTAATCATTGTTCCTCACAATAGAACATAGGGGCTGATGTTATCACCATCATTTGGATGAAGACACTGTGACTCACAGAGGTGATACAACTTACTAGCTGGGAAGTGGAAGAACTAGGACTC